GTGTTTGGTTCTTTGTTTAAAATTTTTAATAAATATACTATGGCTTTTTGAGTTCCAATGGTGGAAAACATGGGACGGTTTTTATTGTGTTCTGTGAATCTGGTTTCCAATTTTCTTCCTGTTTCTCCGATGGAGAATTCTGGGCAGTTATTTTGTAAATGACGCTGGTATTGTGTGATTCTAAATAATTTTTTTTTAGTAATGATTTTAATTTAGGACCAGGTTTTTGAGAGAATTTGACGTTGACAGGAATATTGTGTTTAATGGCTAGTTTATCCACACTTGGACAAGTACTTGTGTAAGTATTCCCTGTAAGGCAAGACTAGAAACTCAGTGAGTTCCATCATCTCCATAATATAGATGGAAATATATTTTGAAAAAGGTGGTTGTGAAATCTGGAAAAAAAGAAAAGTAAACTCACCATCAGAACTACTGTGAAGAGTGAAGAATAGCAAATGGAAAGATACAAAAGTCAGGGTAAGTGAAACCTCCCTGTGATATATGTAATGAAACACTAATGAGTCAGGGTCATCCATATCTCTGCCTGCAAGATCTTATACTGGGATACTGATGGTTAGAGGCAAGAGAAGCTGGGAGATGACAAATATGGGAGGAGACAATAAAAATTAGAAAATGGTTATCACCCATAAAAGGAAAAACTAACTGGATGGGGTGTATAAAAGATGTTAGCAAATGCCAAAGAAAGGAGCAGTGTAAGTGAAATAATAATGAATAAACAATGCAGAACAAAGGAGAAGATCTGGGTTGAAATGGCCATACAGGGAAGAAAGGGAAGGGAATATGAATGGTGAAAACTTACAACCACTCTCCCAAGCCACCTAAATTTTATGGCAGTGAGGGAAGAAGATGAACCTGTCCCTGTAGAGAAGAAGATCAAGACAAAAACAAGTGAAAAATCCTGCAGGGAAGAAGAGAGAAAAATATGTCTGGAGCAAATAAAACAAGGTTGAAGCTCATCAGAGCATCCCTAGCCAGAGATATAGATTCTAGGAATGGATATCAAATAAGTGGAAGCAAGAAGTGGAGGATAGGTGGTATGGCAGTGTCAATAGGACACCTATAGTGAGAAAAAATTCCCTGAAAGCATTATGTGGGAAACGTCCATGTCTAAACAATATAGTCGATCTTCTACCAGGGCCTGAGCTCCTGAGATATGATAGACTGATAATTGAAGGTGGTGGTCATGGACACAATAGAAAAAAGTCCAGAATCAGAAAAACAGAGGTCTTGGGTGTGAGTGCCTCCCTATCAGGAGATGGAAGAAACAACAGAGGTGTATGAATGGATTGTGTTACTATCAGACAGATGAGACATAAGATCAAGATAGAGCAACCACCAGCTTCAAGATGTAGAGACAGAAAAAACCTCATCCCTGGAAACCACATGCTGGAAATGGATCAGTCATCCAGAAAAGCATCCAACTAGAACAGGGACAGTGGAAAGATGTGGTCGTAGGACTGATTTTTGTCAAGCATAAAGCAAACACAATTTGCCACCTTTGCTATGTTCACCACAGATATATGTAAGTGGTAGGAGTCCATAGAATTATTTTTGAGCCCTGGAGCGCAAGTCTGGGTAAGGTGGGGGAAAAAGGAAGTTCAGGATCATGTGGGATAGAGTAAGCCACCAAGACTGTGAAAAAAAGACAGTGTATCCCTGGAAATACCTGCACTGACAGACTAGAAACTATTGAAGGAGACTTGTATGAGCACATCTAATAGGAATGAAAGACTCAAGAGAAGAGAAACAGTACCTGAAGGAGACACATATAGGAAATGAAGGAAACATGTGAGCCCTGGTATCAAAAGCTTTATGTTGTGTGCACAAAGAGGTAAGCTAAACCTGCCCCATATGCAAAGTGAAATAGATCTTCACACGAATGAGATACATGGTGCAGGTTGAGACTGAACTGGACAGCTGAGCCAGCTGACCAAATGAAATGACTCCCGAAGAAGAAGAAAGGACACAACAGAGGAAGCCATGTTAGAAGGAACAAGTAGAAGCCAAACATCCAATGAAAAAAGATGGAGCCATAGTCAATTCAAAGGGAAGGACTGAGAATAACATGTCTGACCACTGCAGTCAAACCAAAGGAGGCAAAAGGCAGATAGACAGTTTGATATACAAAGAAATGCCTGAGACATTGAACTGGATCATCAACCATAGAATGAAAAAATGCCTATCATGAACTGAGGAAAGGCCAAAGTATAGTCAAGTGGAACAGATTGACATCTGGCTGAAAACCTCCCACCTTTATGGGAACAACCAAAAAGATAGGAGTAAAACTCTAGAGTGGGGTTGAAGAATTTTCCCATAGCTTTTGAAATAAGTGAGGAGAGTAGAAGTACAGGAAAATCTCTTGAGAAAGCACTTGAGGAATTCCATAGGCTGTAGTAAAGAACACCAGAGGACAAAGTGGGAAAACATAGCTCCCACAGAACTAGGACAAAGGATGACTCCAAAACCTGTGATGGCTAGTCCTCAGAGAAGAGGAGACCAAGAATGATAACAAGAGGACAAGTAACAGATGAGGGAGTGACCCCAAAAGACTGAATATGATGAGAAACCTGCTGGGGCCATCTAGTTCCAAGGACAAGTAACCAAAGTGAGTAAAGATGACTTCTGAAGAATTGCATTACCTCAACAAGCCAATGTATAAGAAATCCCCCCCCCCCCCCCCCCCCAACCCACATTACAAAGAAAAAGTGCAAGACAGAGGTCCTGGAGAAGAGATTTTGGGAGGCAAAAGTACATGCCAGAAACAAAAAACTTTGGTAACTGGGACAAAAATAGAAGAAAATCAAGGGCAAGGTAAAAAAACACATATGTGCAAGTTCCTCATTAAAGATGATAGGGTTGTGATGGTGAAGCATGAAAATGAACAAAGAAATTGAGTAAGGAATGAAGATGAATAAATTGAGAGAAAGAAAAAGGAGATCCCTACACTGAAAGAAAATCTTCAAGTGAAGGAGGCTGATACAACAATGGATCCTGAAATTCAGTAAAATAAATACTGAAGAATGATAAAAACCAAGGACACATACATGTGGAATGCAAGCAGTGTAGGAATAAAGTGGGACTACTTGATTCACATTCACATTCAGGAAGAGGTAAAGAGAAGCAAAAGCAGGTGTGGTAACAACAGTGGGGAAATGCTCACAAGATGGGACAGGCTCAGCTAAAGTAACAGCAGCAGGAGTCTGATAATCTTGGATCTTAGATTAGAATGGAACCAACCATACGGTGTACAATGGCAATAATATCAATGGCCATCAGGGCATTGCCAGCTGCCATTACAGTATTGGATGACTTTTATGAAGATGTGTTAACAACCTCGGGAGAAATCAGATATGTGTGAACATGAATGCATAATCCAATTAAACCACAAAATTGATGATGTGGTGGCCCATTTTTGTTATTAGAAATAAAATGATCCAGGTATGGCAACAGTGCATAGGCCTAATTACACCCTTGAAGAGTACTGAACAAAACCCATATGTTGGATTTAACAACGAGAACAAACAGTGGGACATGTCTTTCAAATGTACAAAGTCAATTAAAGGAAAATCAAAGTAAAGATAATTTGAATCAAAGTTCTAGCTAATAAGCTTAAAACTTATTATTGTTCTTTCATATAACCAAGAAAATGAAGGAAAGACTACATGAAAAAGAGAAATAATAGATTAAAATAATAAGACAAATTCTGGTAAATCTTATGAAAAAAAAAAAAGTCTCAAGACAAGCAATGCTGAAAAAAAAATGAGGCTATGTTCAAATGGAAGCATTACACATGGAGGATGTGTTGTTTTCTTATTGGTTGAGGGCTATAAGTGGAGGCTGGAACAATACACATTGACACTTGAAGGGGTGGGAGCTTTGCTCAAGGCTTGAGGCATGCACAAGAATTTACCCAGCAGTGTGCACGAGATAACAGCTCTTTGTGGTGCAGAGAGGTGAGCAGCATTTCTCAACAGAATATTTTTGAAAAAATTACTTACAAACTGTAATTTTCTGAAAGATATCAAAAATTCTGATACTTATGCTAAACTATTTTTTAGCAGTGAATAGATTATAAGTTGAGAGGTTAACTAATAGACTCAGATTTTTTTCTGCTTTCTAATACTCAAATTTCAATCAAATACTAACCAAAGTATAAAACTTTACAAGTTATTAATATCATTTTATAATTTGATTCTTGCAAAAAAAAAATGCACCTATTGGAAATCACATCAAATCAGGTTGATCTTTTATGAAAATATCCAGTTGAACTTGCTGCAAATAGTATAATTCCAGCATAGCTTATATTGAATTTACTAACAGTTACAGTACTTATGTCCTAGTAGCAACACTTGACACCTAGAAAATAGTCATTACTGACACTACTGATTCATAGCCCATAGCCCTTTTTTTGTGATACATCTGTATATGTAAGCATGATTAAACAAAAATGACTATATTTAAAACATACATGTAACTGTGTAATTTTTCTGTCTCTCAATGAAATCTTCTGGGCCTAACTCAGATTTACTGATACTTTAAGAAAAAACACATTAATTTGGGAATTATCTTCCCAAACCTAAGTGAAACACACTAACATAATATTCATTATATACATTTTCTCATATTAAGAGAAACTGTGGTAAAATGTTTTGTTGTTGCAATTGCTTGTAAGATTATAGAAGAAAAGTCACCATGCCCAAAACTCAATGGTGAGGTTTAAAAGAGTTAATCAAATTCTTAGAGAAAAGTTATAAATGCTATATATATAAATGTATGAAGTTAAACTAAAAACTATTTTATGGTTATGTTATAATATCATTTAACAACCTGCAGCTTTCAACAAACCTGAAAATTTCACTTTGTGACTGAAGTAAGATGAGAGAAGATTGCATTGCCATGCTCTGTTTCTCCAACAAATTTATCTCCTGTTGAAACAATTTTAGTTGACTTTCCTGCTGACCAAGAAGGGATCTTAATTTTGCAAATTCATTTTGTTGCTGTTTGACTATCAGCTGAGCTTGTTCAAATTCACTCTGTGAAAGTATTTATTGTTACGATGTAAAATAACATGTTAACTTATTCATATCAGTATATACAAAGCAGAAATCTGTTGATGAAAATAAGCCAAATAAATTATTTAAATACACTTCAATAAAGGTATTAAAAAATATAAAATCTTAAATTCTAAGTAATTATAATATAGAATAGTGCATACTGTTTGAAACAGACTAATACGACATCACAATGGGGATATGAACACATTATTCTTAACCATATGGGGTTGTTAAAACTTTGGTGAAACATATTAAAACATTAGGTTCTGAAACAAAAAGAAAAAACAAATTTTTGGTCTAAATCTATATTTTATTTGCACAAATGAAGAAAAAGAACACAAAAAGTAAAATTTGCATATGCAAACTTAATCAGTAGATTTTGTTATAAAAATGTGAACTTTATACAAAAGCAGACACCTAATGAGTATTTAAGTGATTCGTGATTTTCAAAACCTGAAGATCTGTCACTTTCAAAGTTCAAAACAATACTTTAATAATATGACAAAAATGGATAGATGCTACCAATAAGTTAAATAAATTAGAGATTTGCCAGAACAGTGATATCATTTGTTTTCTGGCAATTTAAACTACATGTTCATTACCAAACTGGATTCATTACAAATACAATTACTCTTAGACATAAAAATACACAATGGTATTATAGGTTCACTGCCATTAGCTTGCACTCCCCTTAAACTGACTATATTGATACTGTAAAAATAAAGAATTATGAATAAATATCCAGTAGAACCCCATTAAAGCATGCCCCGATATAATGTGAATTAGAATATACCACGGTCAATGTTTGGCTCCAAATTTTGTAGTGTAATTCAATGATTTTGTCAATTTTTCTTTAAAAAATTGTCCAGAAAGAGACAATCAACATCAGATGATTTTTTGAAAAAATATAAAATGGATTTTTGAAACACTTTATTACAGTTTTTTTAATGTAAATTTGTGTTTTTTACTGACTGTAAGTTTTGTGTGCTTGATTTCTATTCTTTAAAGTTAGGCCTATGAAATTTTAGCAATGTTCAGAATTTTGTTTTCATGCACCACATGTTCGTTTATGGAAAATAATAAATGTTGTACTGCATTTAACCATGTCTACAATGTAATTAATACCATGTGATACTTTTAACATACCATAGTTTATGTTTTTCTTGTTCTTAAAATGGCTGGGGTATAAGATAAAAAGAAGATGTAGCTGAAGGTATGTGTAACAAGAACTGGGCAATAAATTGGGTATCTGAAGCTCTCAAATGAATAATAAAACACCTCATGTACTGAATAACAATGCAAGGAATATAGAAAATGCCCAATTGTGGGTACCCCAAAATAATGCAACCCCACACTTAATGCAATCACATTTTGTGGACCCCAACTATTGCATTACAACTGTACTGTAGAGAACTGTAATTATACCAAATGAACAGCTAATATCTAAAAAAAGTATTTTTATACTGTGAGATACGGGTGAAAGCAAATTTATCTACAGGCAAAACCTATCCATATCTTTCATTAATCATCATTTTATTTTTCACTCTTGTGATAAGCATTTATATTATTATTATTTTATAATATACAAACTATATGCTTGTTGAATAATAAACAGAAATTACTATAAACATAATACACATGATGAGCTATAAAATAACACAAAATCTAATGGTATACTACTTAACATCCAAGGTTTAACAGTAAATTACTCATGAGTCACATGAACATAAGTTTATAGAAAACCCAATGAAAGTAAAAATTTAGATCCATCTAGTTCCAAAAAACAACCCATTAATCTTAGTAAGGCAATATGACTAAATATGCAAGGAAGCTGTCGCGCTGATGTCGCTGGACTCGCCCAGAGGACTTGTCCCGAGTGCTTGTGTATGCATGGCTTAGATGCTGTGCCCCCGCCTGTATGTGCTCCATCATTTCCGTATTCATGGCGTGTTAGATCCCACTTTTGTCCCCATTTTCTTGTAATAATAATTCATGATTGTGTGGCTGCTAAGCATCGGTAGAATTATCGATGTATTGCTGTCTATGATGATGATGATGATGAATATGACTAAAATAGTTTTGCTTACATAAAGGATTCTCTTGGTATGTAACTATTAAAGCATTGATACACACATAACTTAAGCCACAGAAAATGACTTCAAAAATCAACCAAAAAAAAAAGCTTTGTTAAATCTCTAACGCTTACTATTACTAATTTTTTCAAGTTTCCAATAATTACCAGTCAGACCAAATTTTCAAAGCCTCGCATGTTAACTCTTAAAAGAAATTATTATAAAATTCAACTTCTTGACAAGTATACTTCAAGATAAGTATAAATCCATGATACATGCTAATTTCTTTGATTTTCAAACAAAACAGAAGCAAAATTTGTTATACAATGAATCAAAATGAAGATTTAAGCAGTATTCCACATCTTGAACATTTGATAAATGAAAATGAGATCAAACAAAATGACTGCATTAATTCTGAGCTGATTATGAAAAAATTGGGAAGTTTAAGAAATGAAAAGGCTCCTGGGCCAGATAATATTTCTCCAAGGATTTTGAAGAAGGGTAAAGATTGGATATGTGAGCCACTTACTAATATTTTTTGTCAGTCCTTGAATATTGGGCAGGTACCAGAGGATTGGAAATTAGCTAATAATGTAACTCCTCTTTTCAAGGGAGGTAATAAAAATAGTCCCGGTAATTATAGACCCATTAGTCTTATGTCAGTTATGGGAAAAGTTTTGGAAAGTCTGTTAAAAGATGTTTTGCAAACTCATTTAACAAAGTTTGGAATTTTATTGGATAGTCAACATGGTTTCACTAACGAAAAATCTTACCTTACAAATCTTTTGACATTCTTTGAAAAGGTTACTGCTTATGTAGATGAGGGTAAGGGTATAGATTTGGTGTATCTGGAATTTCAGAAAGCATTTAACAAGGTGCCACATAAAAGGCTTGTACAAAAAATTAGTTCTATAGGTGTGTGGGATAAGTTAGCAAATTGGATAGAAGAGTGGCTGGATGGAAGAAAGCAGAGGGTTGTTACAAGTGGAGTTCAGTCAAACTGGATTAATGTCACAAGTGGGGTACCTCAAGGTTCAGTCTTAGGACCTTTACTCTTTTTGATTTACATCAATGGTATAGATGAAGGGATAGTCAATAAATTACTTAAATTTGCATATGATACTAATGTCTTGGGTGTGGCTAGCTGTGAAGAGGATGCTGCTGATTTACAAAAGGATTTAGATCATTTAGTGAGTTGGTAAAAAAAAATGGCAGATAGGTTTTAATTATAATAAATGCAAGATAATGCATGTGGGTTATCATAATTTGAATTATAAGTATAATTTGGATGGGAATAACCTTAACAGTGTTATGAAGGAAAGGGATTTTGGTGTAATAGTCAATCAGTCTCTAAAGCCATCCAAGTAGTGTGCTGTTGCTAATGATAGGGCAAATAGGATTTTAGGTTGTATCTACAGAAATATTGAATACAAGTCTAAAGAGGTTAAAATTTCACTGTACAGATCACTGGTTAGACCACATTTTGAATATTGTGTTCAGACTTGGGCTCCTTACCTTAGGAAAGACATTGAATTGTTGGAAAGGGTGCAGAGATGGGTTACTGGAATGGTGCCTGGGATGGAAGGGTTATCATATGAGGAATGACTGAAATCTCTCAAATTGTTTTCTTTTGAAAAAAGAAGAGTTGGGGGGGGGGGGTCTGATTGAGGTGTTTAAGATTGTAAAGGGAATTGATACTGTTGAT